CAAGTATCTTTCAGATGGGCTCATCCATTGCTCCCATACAGCTGGGTAAACAGACAAAGTCAATGCTATGATGTAGGTTTACATTATAGCATTCAAAACACTTCACATATGTGGGATATTTTTTTCTTTAAGCAACCTAAGAATGTGTTTAAAGGTGACCTGTGCTGAAAAAGAAGTAGAACTGGGGAAGTTTGGAGGCAATAACAAAGGAAAGGCTTCTGAAGATTAGTGTGTTTCAGAATCTTTTTCAAAGGAAAAAAACGAATGAATGAAATAAGTAATGTATGTAATCACCCTTATTAAGGCAAAAAAACCAAAACAAACAAAGCAAACAAAACAACCCCCCCCCCCCAAGGAAAAAAAAAACAAAACGAAAAAAAACCCCAATGGACAGGAATCTTCATTGCCAAAATCGAAAGAAAGCAAGGCTTACTAGTTTTTGCAAACAAAAGCTTTTTTCAGACTTTACTGTGAAGTGATACAACTGCACTCAACAATTTTTAAAAAGTGATTCAAGAGAAACAGCAACATTATATATATATTTTTAAAAGTTGGGTTTTTTTAAAAAAAAAGGCTTCCCAAAATCAATTTTGTTAGGATTTTACCATATGCTCAAAGCAGACCATGTCTTTCAGGATGCTTGCCTGGTGCTTAGCATTGAACAGTACCTGGTTCCTGATGAGAGCCAAACCCCAAAAGAGGGCGTAGACATCAGAACACAGAGGGAGAGGAGAGATGATACACCATTGAAAATAAATTCTTTATATTTCTTTCCATCTCAAATCCCACTCCATATCCATGCTTCCTCTACACAAGGAAGAACTGAAGCCTAACACACACAAGCATCTTTGTGAATCAAGGGAATTAGCAGATGTGTTGGTAATCTTCCACAAATAAGAAGCAAACGCTGCCAGCTGTACTTGTAAATTCAAAGATTAACATTAATAAGCAGTGCTAAGACTACAGGTATTATCTTTCCTTAAGGTGACAGACCTCAAAAACCCCAGTTCTGCAGAAACTAAGCTGCCTGTCCAGCTTTTGTGCCTCCAGTCCTACCCTACACTGCAAAACATCTAGAGATTCATCAGCCAGAACGTGCCAAATCAAACTGGATTCTTGCCACTGTTTGAGATGGCAGTGGAGTAGTGAGTATATAAACTAGGTCAGACATGATTACCAAGAACAAGGACAATTTTCTTTACATGTGTGTGTAAAGCTGTGAAAATGGCAAAGACTGAACATTTGGGTGCTGCAGAGAGTATATCCAAAAATCATTTCTGATAGAAAAGTTTAACTACATTTTAATATGAATGATATTTTCTATTAACAGCAAGGCAGAAGCCTATTTTTCAGCAGAGCTCTTCGTTCACCAAAGTGCTATCTCTCTGAATCTGAGTCAACTTTAGTGACCACTTTAATATTCACTTTACAATTAATGCTTCTTTTTATGGGTTGGTAGAAGGTAAACCAATTTCAGTTCGGCTTCTAGGTATTGAATTTATTATAAAAAGTTATGTACTTAAAACTCCTATAATGAAACCAGAGGCATCATGAGATATTAACCTAGAGTTAATGCTGAGAAGGCCAGTTTGAATAATTCAATTCATGTCACCTTAAGTATCTTTTCAAATGGAATTAACTTTATCTCACAAAAAAAGGAAGTTCCATGTTCCAGTTACTGATTATTGACTCCACAAGAGTTCCGACTTAAATCATCTTACCACCATCTTCCCAGAAATTTTATTTCACTACTACCAGGATGCTTTTTTACATTCTGAGGACTGACTTTCATTATAAAGCAGCAATATTAGCTAAGAGGAAAACATGGTTTCAGAGTTACTGCTATCGTTAGGTGATACTAAAACAGACAAAAATATAAGTTAACACCAAAGCATCTGCATTAGTTCAGTACAGCTACACACCAGGGCTGCATTTCAGCCACATGCACACAGCTACTGCAGTCGTTTACATCCTATACAACTCCACCTCTTTTTACAACAATGCCGTTGATTATTGGTAAGCTGCTCTCCTCTTGACCTGTTAATTGTCTTATTCTGACAGAAAACCCTGCATATGAACACTGTAAAGAGATGTTTCCAAATGCCTATCTAAACCCAGGGGAAAGTGACAGCGCATGATCCAAATTATGGCAGGGTAAGAGTCGGGGAGACAGGCAGGTGAAAAGCTGAAGCAGGAGGTGTTAAGATAGAGGTGTAGCACTAGAAATTACTCCAAAGTAACAAGTAAGAAAAAGGGGGGAAAAGTGAACAGAAACAAGAAAGAACAGCTCAAAACAGGCAGAACAAAGAAGTGCTTCATTACAGAGTACAGCTGTGCAGTCCAACATTTGTGAAAGAGACAGGAAAATCGGAACATTGTACATCGAAACAGAGATCCCGGTAAGATCAGCAGTGTCCTGAAATAGGAAACACTGATTATCTCTCCTAGACAGTTCTACGAAGAGAAAACTATGTAGCAAGCTAGTTACCTTGCATTAAATCCAGATATATCCAAGATTTCCTTAACCCAGACAAAATTAAGCAAAAAGGAAAATATTTCAAACTGATCTGGATTCAAACAAAACTCACAAAGACTTTCATTATCCTAACATTTCAATTGCTCTTGTCAAAGTCTTCCTTTAAACAGAAAGGGAGAGTACAAAAGCTCCCATGGGGCAGAAGGAACTTGCATGGGCAGCACTTGGAACAGGAGGAAAGTGTTCTGGGTCTGTCCTCTTCCAACTCTTTCCTATCAAAAATCCCTCACTGCTACGCTCCCCTTCGGCAGATCCCATTAGGCAGACAGAACAGTGCTGGCCTGAACTACTGTGTGAAGACAACACTCACACAGAAAAAGCAGAGACCCATCATGACACTAAGACTTCACGGTTCAGGTACCAAAAGATGTGTGAAAATAACAGCAAGCCCCATCAAGAAGCACCCAGTGACCCTTCTTGGGTTTCAAAGCTCTCCCACGAAGGAATGAGGGAAAGAACAGACAGTCGGGCAGTCCTGCCCAACTCTTCACAGTTTGTAAACTGTGAGGAGAAACCCAGCACAAAGTGCTTCTTTGGGTGAAAAACAGTAACAATTTATAAAGCCAAATGCAAAGAATGAGAAAATTGAAGAGGAAGGTTAGAAACATCAGAAACATTTTGCACACTATAAGAAATACCCACTGAAGCATGTTTTGACAGGTATTTATCTATGCCTACAATTCTTTGCACACAACAAGAGGACTAGAGTAATTTCTGCTAGGCTGGAGCTGTAGAGTTTGTAACCATAAAGGAAATGTCAAGGCAAACCTTGATATAATATCTGCATTTGCATTTGTGGACAAAAGTACCCGTAAGTATAGAGAAAGAAATAATGGAATCAATGACAAGCTTGATAGAACTTTGCATGTGAAACCAAAAAACAATTTTAAAGAATTCTCTGTGTATACACTGATAGAGTGATTAGGAACACAGAACAAGAGGAGATAAATGTGGATTGTTGAACTAATTTGATAGTCAGTGGGCTGAAGGTTTCCTATTATCTGCTTCCATGCCTTTGTCCAGTAGATGTGATGACACTGGATCCCTCAATGCTAAGGGCTAACCTAGTATATAGGATAAATGTATTTGAAGTTGGAAGGCTAGAAATGAAATATTCAGGGCAAAACCTGAAAGAAGGATTGGCATCACCCAAAACACAGCTACCACAGTACTTCTGGACTACATGAACTCCTCTGGACTATTTTCCATGGAGATCCCCAGCAAGCTGCATGCCATACAAGCAGCAACACAGACATCATCTATTGTGGGAGGATATTCTTGTTTTGAATTCAGTGCCATCACAAAAATGGGTGGCAGATATAAACACAAAAGAAAGGAAATGAAATGTTTATAAAAGGTTAAAAGCCTCACAAAGAGCTCAGTGTGAAACAACAAAAAAGGCTAAAAAAAGCTTAAAAACGACATCATTAGGACAGAAAAACCAAAAACATTCCTGATGCCAGTGAAGTCAGAGAATATTGCTACCTGCTTCCTGAGAGAATTAAAAGATTCCTTCCTGCTCAGTCTCCAGTCTCCTGAGAAGCAGGATCTCCCTGTATAATTCTCACAGCAGGGAACCACTGACATGCCAGAATCAGGCCTCCTTTTGGATACTCTGTGCTGATGACTTTACTTCTAGCCCTGTTATAAGTAAGCCTTTAAGACTGTTCCAGCAGAAGAGGGGATCAAGGGCATAACCTCTATAAAAAGGCATGGTCTTAGGTAGGATGGATTCTGGAGATCTGCAGATGGAAGCTGCTACCAGAGAACAGCAAGCAAGAACATGGGGTAGAGCACTTCCATAGGCAGTCTTCTCTTCCAGGGTATAATCTGCCATCAGCAGGGATGCAAACCGAGCACCTAGCCACCAGAAGAAAATCTCAAGCAGCCATGTTCTCAAGGCTTTGGGCGACTACATCTGAGAAACATTTTACCACTTAACATGTATCTCTAGTCAACGTTTTCTGGTTTTAACTGCATGTAGAACTATAGGTCTTCTATAAATAGCTCAAATCAGATGAGCTGCTTTACAGACTTGAGAAAGCTCTTATTGACCAGATACATCATCTGTAATGCCCTTTTCAATCATCAAAAGCCACAGTGAAAATGTGAAAGGCTGTATCTACAGTGATTGCAATTATTTTCCTGTTTAAATAACAGAACAGAAAACAAAACAGCATCTTAACTTTCTCCTTGGCAAAGGTGTCGGTTCCCATGATTCCTACTTCATTATAACATGGTCAATTAACTTCACCCATTTTATTGACCCAAAACTTGTCACAGCTTTTCTCTTTGGTTTCCCATGAGTCCCTGCCTTAATACATGGATTGCAGGAAAACAATCACAAAACAGTATCAAAATAGTATTCAAACTTTATGATGTAAGATAATACACTCACAGTCTCAAAAATATGTTTTGACTTGGTCATTAAAAAAAAAAAAAGAAATGGCAAAAAAGAGCTTACCTTCTGCTCTTTTTCCTTGGCAGCACTGAGTTCAGAAAGGGAGTGTGATAGTTTTTCTTGCTGCTCAGCCAGGTACTTCTGATAAAGGCTCAAAAGTTCTTGGCATTCTCTGTACTGCTGCTGCAGAGGTGAGACATCAGAAGTTAAGGGAAAAACACTCTTTAACGAACAGTTATAGCCAAATATATACCAACTTTTTCTGTGCAAATCTGATTTAGATCCATAACAGTTCAATTTAAAAACAGATACCGTGTGTTTGAGTAGCGCCTAATGATGATAAATCTGCCTAGAGATGAATGTTCAAGTACAACCTTCTTCCTACCCAGAGTGGAAAAAGAATTGCAGCAAATTCTTTTATCATTGGAAAAGGGACAGCAGCAGGAGGCAGGTGATGACAATTGTTTCAGCTGGAACAGCTACAACCCTCTTATTTGTATTCAGCAAAGCCAGCCATTACCAATGTTTATTTATAAATAAATAAATAGCCAGCCAAGTAAGTAAATAGTCCATTTTTAAGCACACACATCGATTCACAAGCCCACATACCCAAATCCAATCTCTTTGCTTGAGTGCCAATGGCTCAAAACCCCACAGCCACAGATGCAGTGCTACAGGCCTTTTACAGACCAGCAATAATTTTTGGACAGTAATCTGGAGAAGCAGCAACTGTGGTGTTTGCAAGGATATTAGCAACAGTGTCCTGCCTTGCTTGCAGCATTGAAATTCCAACAGGAGATAAATCTGCTCTTCACCTGTCATTGTGTAATTCCCTCCCTTGCTCATGTAGCATGGTAAACCATTTATGCTCCCCTCTCTCCCCCCTCACTTTTAATTATGCATGCAGATGGGATAAGGGCTCGCTGTCCAAAGAGATTACTCTGAATAAATACTTTAATAACAAGTCACTGCAATTAAGGTAGGGAACAAAAACTTCTTCAATCTTTAAAACGGTGTTGAGTTACAGATTTCCTTAACATTTTTATGATCTAATCATTGCTTCTGGGCAAATTCATGTTGCAATCACTTTTGCCAATCATGGTTGCATAAATAACTCACTGCTTTGTTATTCCCTGTTATGACCCTAAGGGGTTTTTTTTTGGTTCGTTTTTGTTGCCTTCCCTCCCTCCCCCGCTTTTTCTTCTTATTTTTTTGCAGGAGGGGTGGCCTTGCCAGGGATTCATTTTTGCTGTTGTTTGGTTGGTTTTCTTTCATTTAAATAAAAGGCTACCGAGGGAATAAGCAAAACATTTTAGGAAGGAATGGAAGGTTAATAAACCCCAATGCTGAAATCAATCAGGAGAGCTCTCATAACACCTTTGCTCAGCACCTGGAAATATGGGAGGGTACAAACAATGGTCTTAACAAGCTAATTGCTTTCCAGAGCCAGCCTGCCTAAAGCCGGAGCTGTTTTACATTTCAGTTCATTTCGTCAGAGAGCACCAAAAGGCTGAAGTGATTTGTGGTGGTCTCAGGAGTCTCTGCCAGCTATGATGTATATAAAAGGAATTTTTTATTCCAGTTGTAACCATAGGCAGTAATGTTTATAGTAGGTGAACATATTAGCCTGGACGCAGGGCATGAATTTTACTCTAGCAAAAGCCAGTTCATTTATACAGCCTAAGAGTTAAATGTCGGTATTTGAAGACAAATTATAGGGAAATTCATTTAAACCCATGTTATGTGGCAGAATATAAAAACGGACAGTCCTATCTATCTTTATCAATTTTTTACGGCCCTCTTAATTCACTTTGCTTCCAGCAACCCCTTCCCCACAAAACAGATTTTGCCCTCTCCTCCCTCCAGCTAGCACACTGCTGGCAACAGAAACAAGCACCCTAAATAGCCTTGGGGCACACGAGTTATGGCCAGGCAGCCATCCTCACTCTTGCCATAGTGCTGGTATCAGTCCCACTGGAAAGCCAGGCACAACTACTCACACTCCTAGGCACCATTAAAAATATGCCCCATTTGTGTTACACAGACTGCAGAGCCCTCACAGCACACACAATGCCACCACCTCCTGCATGTGGCTGCTAAATTTATTTAAAATACAGTTTAAAACAGGACGAGCAAAATTAACATTTGCAAAGTATGCAAGTAAATCCTGATCATGCAAAGGCCAGTTATGTGATCATGAGTGGGAAGGGCAATTGCTCATGTGAGCTTGAATGGTGGCAGAGATGGCCCTGAAATTCTTGTGAGATTGGGTCAGCCACAGTAAAACTCTCTGCATTAGAAGATAAAAACCTTCCTCATTCACACACTTTACATTAGGCAAAGTATTGCTACAGCCACCACAGTCTAAGAGTTAAAAGCCCTGCTTTGCTTACTAAGTAAACATGAAGCTTCAAATATGAAAAAAAGAGTTCATTTGTTTAAGACATAGGGAGAATAGCTGAAAGTATGGCAATTCTCAAAAATGCACTGGTACATTTACTGCAAAATATCTTCTTAAGAAAAAAGAAAGCCTTAATATTAGATCTTACTCTCTCGTTCTATTGAATTTTTCGCTAAAAGCAGCAAGATGATCTTTTTTCTCCTACAAATTAGCTAGGCAATACATAATAGTGCCACAAAAATATTTAAGCCATTCATATATAACAAGATCATGCACCTACCTACTAAGGCAATATACTCTTTGGACAGACATGCATGTTATAAATATTTTCATAATCTGGTTTAAAAAGAAAAAAGTTGTAAGGTTGAAAAAACAGTATAGGAGAAGTCCTACAGATTTGCATTCCCAAAAAAGTAATATACCTAAACGGACACATTTGATAATTCTTCATGTGTTCAGGAGCACAAATATTGGATTTGCAAGATGTTAGTTACCCGGGAGAAGTGGTACTTGGCATTTTACTGAACAGTAGTTTTATGTCCAAGAAATATGCATTTGAATGTATTAGACTAATACTTTTTATGCAGTTATTAGTAAAGTATCAAAGTTGTATGTGAAGCGGGGGGGAAACAAAAAAAAATATTAGAAATGCAAAGGTTAGGATTTCAACAGCCACATTCACGTTGTCATACTGCAAGTGCTATTTTATAGAATAAACTAGTTAATTTTTTCACTGAATGTAAGTCAAATAATTAAGAGCTCATTTTTGACTCTTAAGAGATAATAACCTCAGCAGAGATAGCTGGCTTTGAGAGGACGGGCTGCACCAGCACACAGTGGTGACACATTTGCAGAAGCCAGGAATGCATGTCCAGGGAGCCAGGGAGGGAACAAAGAGCTTTTCCTTGGGGTGAAGCTTCACAGGAAGCCAACCTAAGGTTCATCTGCTTCCAAAGATACTCTCCCACTCGCTCCTTCCATCTGCACCAGCTCTGCTCCACCCAGATCCTCTCTCTGGGCCTGAGCAAACTGTCCCAGTGAGGCACAAGGACAGCCAGGCTCCAGACGTGGCACGAGGCAAGCAGAGGGAGTGGAGCTGGGAGCAGAGGATACTTCTTCCAGCAACAGTCACCTGTCTGGGAGTGTTTACCCACCTCGCAAAGTTTCGAGCCCTTCCTTCAGTTCCACTCTCAATCCTCAGGCTATTAAGTCTGCTCCACGGCTACCTCAACTACTAACAGCTTACTCCTTGCTGAAATACTGTCAACCTCCCACAGGCTGAAGTAGAAAAAAACAACAGCTCCTGCTTCCCCAGAAACTGGGAGGAGAAGAACGAATCCAACATCAGATTGCTCCATGAAGACTATTTACTGAAATTCTGCTTTTCTTATATCACCTTTTGTAAGAGGGAAAAAGACAACCAAACCACAAGATAGAGAATCTTCTCCTTAGAAAGAATATTTCTTTGGGGGCCTTTATCATTTAAGAATAAATATTTCATTTTATCTCACTTTATTGAAAGAAAGAAATAAATTTAAAGAAGCTTTTAATTACAGCTAACTGAAGCTGGAAAAAAAAACTTTTCTAGAAGCTCCTAGTAAGGAAAGAGAACACAGCTAACAAGATTCTTTGCAATCAAACTAATAACAAAGGCCCTTCTGTATTTTCAGAATGTTTGTGAGAACTCACCACCTAGTGACACCTTCCTCACTGGTTTGCAAAGAGAATTTTTGGGACAGGCAGCAGCTCTATGGTTCCCTTTTTACACATGGAAAACTGTGTCATGGGGAGTCTTTGGGCATGTCTGAGTACACAGGTGCAGCCCAGCAGCCCCACTCTCCTCAGGTCATCTCCAGGACACACATCCTGCAGCTGCATGGTAAACTAGCACAGCTCAGGCACAGCATTAACAGACCAGATTCATCTTGCACCTGATTAGCTCAGAGTCTGAGTTTGCCTGCATTCACCCATGCAGAAAAGCCCTAATAGACCTCCCAAGCATCAAACGAGATGCCCAGTGATGACTCATTCCTGTAATCCCTGACGGTAGCTTCAACTTGGACTGTCCTTTCATTCAGGGCTGCATTCTCTGATCCATGGCCAGAACAGAACACAGGAGCTGAATCTCCATCTTCAGTCACCAGATGCTGCAGTCCCATCAGCCCCCATATCCAGTGGAAGACTCTAGAGACTCAGAGCTATTACAGAGATATGCAAAGATTAATAAAGCAATCAAAGGGAAAAAATAGTCAAACACATACAAATTGGATTGGAATTTAAATCAGCATTAACTTGAACTCTGTGGTAGAGAAACAAGAAACCTTCTGTGATGTGATGAAGAAAGCTTTTTCGCACGTGCAATCATGACCCAGTAGCCACAATGCACGGGCCTTTTTTAATTCCTGCTGAAGGACATGCATCTAGAAACCTGACTAGTTATGATCATGTTGACAGTTTCAGCAGACTCAACTCTTTTCACTGCCTCAGGTAGTCCCTTGAAAACAATTGCTGCGAGAAAAACTAGACAAGGAAGGAGATGTTGAGGAAATGCCACTGACAGTGGGTAGATGAAGCTACAGTAAGCTCTGAGAGGTTTTTTTTCTCCCAAGAAAAATCTACTCAGATAAATTGCAGGCAGACCCGAGCTTGTCTGCATGCTCTCCAAGCAGGTATGTGTGCCAGACCCATTCCAGGAGCTGTGCACAATCCCAGCAGCACAGCATCAAGCACCACATGCCTGATCTAACTTACCTTGCTTTGATGTTTTTGTGGGGTTTGTTTGGGGCTGGG